GGCCAGCCCTAGGCGGCTACACCCCTCTCCAAATGGGGTCACTGGCAGCCCAGTCCAACCCCTGTTACCACAGCCTGTGGTGCCAGAAAGCTGTGGCTCTGTACTAGGAAGCAGTTCTGGACAAACAAACCCAGACTGCCCATCTCAGGGGGTTTGCTGACATTTGCCCCTCTTTAGGACTTTAATCAGGGCACACAGCCCATTCTCAAACTCAGATCTGTTTCTTTGGTTAAGAACAGTGGCTGTGGAGCCTGTGTCCTTTGCAGTTGCGCTGCATTTCCTGACTGGGACCTTGGGCAAGCTGATCCACCTTGATGGCCTCCGTTTCCTCATCTGCAGAATGGGAACAACAGCTGTAATTTAAGTTTAGGATTTTGTGAACATTGAAAGGATCAATACCATGATGGCCTAACCGGAGTGACCAGCCTAACAGAGCACCGGCCCTACACATGTTTGCAATGTTATTTCACTGAGGTTCCTAAGGAAGTTGGAATTCTCTTTGCATCTTTGTTCCCCTGCTTATCTCCCCCTCTTATTGAGGAGGCAGGAGGCACACTGCTCCCTGCTTTCTGCTCTTAGTCAGGCTCCAACTACCCCACTGAAGGAAGAGAATAGCTTATTGCTCCGCAGGTCTCAGGAGCCAATTATTTTTTCTATTTCTCTAACTTCTCCTAGGTGTCTGTTTTGTCTATGGTGCACACTGGGACTTTTGGGAGTGGGCTCAAGGCATCTCTACTTCCAATCATCTCTTAAGCCATTACTGGAGTCCTGAGCTTCTGTCCCTGACATTTAACAACCAGGGAAAAAAGCAGTCTGGAGACACCAGGGAAGTGGGTGTGTGGATCACCCAGGGGGTGGGGGTGAGTGGATCACTCAGGAGAGGGGGTGGGTAGATCACCCAGGGGATGGAGGTGAGTGAATCCCCCAGGGAAGCAGGTGTGTGGATCTCCCAGAGGGTGGGGATGAGTGAATCACCCAGGGGAAGGGGTGTGTGGATCACCCAGGGGGTGGGGGTGAGTGGATCACCCGGGGGAGGGGGTGAGTGGATCACCCAGGAGAGCAAGTGGGTGGATCGCCCAGGGGGTGGGGGTGAGTGGATCGCCGGGGGGAGGGGTGGGTGGATCTCCCAGGGGGTGAGGGTGAGTGGGTCACCCAGGCGGGAAGTGAGGAGATCACTGAGGGGTGGGGTGGAGGGACCACCCAGGTAGGGGGTGGCTGGATTGCCCAGAGGAGGGACCAGCCTGAGCGCCAGGCAAGGAGCTTCTCGTTTGTGTTGTGAATTAGCTGTATGGTTTTCTTAATCTGTTTAAATTTCTGAGTGGATTGAAGATGTGTGTTGTCATTTTTCAAGGCCCTATTCAATAAAATATGTGGATAATTATTCCACTGGGGAAACTGGCTCCAGTCCACCAATGCCTAAAAATAGTGGGTGTCCAGACCTGTGGATTCTTTTCTCATGACCAAGAGGCCTGGCAGGCGCAGCCAGGCGGCGCGGGGGGCGGCGGCCCTTGCGAGGCGCGGACGGGGCAGCCCGGAGAGAACAGGGCGCAGGGCCCCGGCCCGCGAAGTCCGCGCCACCGGAGAGGCTCCCGTGCGCGGTGCCTGGGAGCCCACCCGGCCGCCAACCGCAGCTCCGCAGGAAGGCGCCTCTCTTCTGACTTTGAGCAGCGGTGGCCAGAGCCCGGCGGCCGCGGGGGCCGCGCAGGGAGGCCAAGTCCCGGAGACACAGGTGCCCCCCCGACCGTGGGCGCGCGGCCGGGCGGCCGGGGGTCCGATCAGGAACCGGCACCACGGGGCGTCGCTGACGGAGCGCCGGTTGCGAAAAGGCCCGAGTTCCACCGCAGACACGCTGCCGAGGGCCCGAGCTGCCGAGGGCCCCGAAGGGAGCGGGCGTCCCGCTGCCGGATCCCCCTGGGCGCCCCCCAGCGGAGAGCGGCAGGGTTCGCCTCCAGAAGCCTCGGCGCCGCGCCCGGAACGTGTCGCTGCAAGCGAGCCGGCCGGGACCCCGGATCCGGTCCCGGTTCCGATGCATTTCCAGAGCTGGGCATTCCGGGGTACCGGGGAAACACGACGCCCCCACCCAGAGCTGGGAGGAGGCTCCCGACGCCGTCTCCACAGGGCTTCTGCCTGTCCGTGCACGGCCAGTGCGGACCCCACGCTCCCCCGAGGAGGGCGTGGAGGAAGACCCCCACCCACAGGAGGCCCCCTGGACCAGGGGCGAGGCCATCCTGCTGGAAAGAACACGCCGGCCCCACACATGCGTGTTTGGCCTGTGCTATATTGCCCAACATTTAAAAAGTTAAGTCACACAAGAAGACAGAGTGACGTAGCCAAGTCACGCCGTGGCTCTTAAGAATCTGCTGGGATGTGGTGATGTCATGTCAAATAGCACCTCGCTGGCCGAAGCCATGCCGACCTCAGGGAGAGGATGGGATGGCTGATCCTCAGACAGAGGACAGAAAACAGCTGGGAATTACGGGAAGCCCCAGTACCATCTCTGACCATACCGCTGAACAAAGGATGCCACCTCACATGCGCCATGCCCCTGGCCTCTCCACATGTCGCCGCCGCCCCCTAGGCTCACAGACCGTACTGCTGTGGTCCAACCTGGTGCTAGAGTTCACAGTCCCTGGGCCTATTTATTGCCTCGGTTTGGCTAACTTTAAAAACACCCATTAACAAGTCCATTTCTTTTTACTATAAAAATATTGAAGACTAATGGATGTTCTGACCCCAATATGTCTGGAAACAAGACAAAAATCATCTCAGAATTGTCAAGCTTTGCTTTGTCTTTGAGGCTGAGTCTTTCTTGGGTCTTCCGTGGATAAATGCGTCCCCTTGTGTATTCAAGTATTGAACAAACGGACATGGAGTCCCTCCTCCCACGTGATGGGCACAGGAGGGAGGGCAGGGGACCAGCCTGTGTGGTGCCTCCCATGGGCTCAGATGAGGACTCAGAGTCACGCTGATGGGAGTCAGACACCTACGTCTGTCCCCAGGAAAGGTCCCCCTAAACCCCCACCAAGAAAATGTCAAATCCTTAGTGCAAGTGCTGCTCTGGGTAAAAATCTCAGCGTAACCAACGATGTGCTTGCTCAGTGGTTGGTGCATGAGCTATTTCAGAAGGATGAGAACTTGGTGTTCCCCACCCATCCTTCTGAAGTAAAAGGGTTTTTCTAAGGAACAGAAATAGCAGAATAGAAGCACTGTTGGCACACACCACCATGTGCGTTGTACCAATACGCTGTTTTTCATTGTTGGTGTCAGGTCGTTGTAGGCTTACTCACTTATGTTCCTGCACAGGCTTCCTCCCGCTGGAGACAGGGAGAGTGCCAATCCTGTCCACTCTCGTATGGCAGAGCTCAGCAAAGAGCCTGGCTGAGAGCAGTGTCCCCCACACTAAATAAAATGAACTGACACTCCAGCGCCTCCCCAGAGTACCTCCACCTCCAAACCAGCCTTACTTCCAACCATTCTTGGACTTGCTGAAACCCAAGGTCTCAGCATTTTTTGCTCAGAGCCCCTGACAGATCCATGGGCTGGCCTGTCTCTGACCTGCAGTTCAGGAGGCACCAATTTTCTGGAAGTTTCTTTGTCTTTGCCACTCCCAGTGCAATTCAAACATTCCAGACCCAGGGGCGTTTTTGACCTTTGTAGAGCTTTCCTGGTCACATCAACCTAAAGTGATAGAATTATGAGGTAAAACTTTACAGTCATTGTGGAAATCAGTGCAGTGATTTTGAAAATGAATGATGGGCTAGTCTCATCGCCTGGAATTAGGTAATTCTTGCTGTTTGATTTTTTTACTGAGTGGCCCAATTGGACTATACAGGCTTTGACACCACAGAAGTCATAACCTCCTCAGAATCTGAGCCCTTTCCTGGCCCCAGCCCCTCGGCCTGCAGGCAGGAGGCGCTCAGCACACACCTGTGTGATGGTTCTCCTGCCCTCTGGCTCCTTGGTAATTCCCTGGGCAGGGAAGGGAAGTCCTAGGCTCCAAGAGACAACTCCAGCGCGGGGGAAGACGCTTTCCTAACAGCAACTGGGTATACATAGGACTTTTAAAAGAATGACTAAAGTTCCCAAGTAACGTGGGACAGACACTATTTACCTCCAGGTGCTCCAGGTGGTGAAAGGAGGAGTCTGAGGAAAAAAACACATGCAAATCTGAAAACATTTAAGGAGTAATAACCACTCCATAAGGTTGCCAGGCTCTTTGAAGCCTGCCACTGTCTGGAAGATCCCCGTGCAGGGAGCAGAGAGAGAGGCTTTTCACGTTGGTTTGAAAATCTAAGCAACAATTTGGGAAAAATTAAAAGATTGAAATGGGTCACTTACTTCATGAGCTCAACACAACTGCTCACATTCTGAATAATCTGGGTTCTAAAACTGTCAAAGAAAATGTCATCTCAAGTAAAAGGAGATAACTCAATTTAGTTTTCCTTTGTCTTTGGCTCAATCAAATAATCTTCCTAAAATTCACTTCTAGATCTTTTGAATGGAACATGAGCTTTTTAATTGGAACACTACATTTTTTTCATAAAGTTAGAGTGATCTTGGCTAAGTTTTTTTCCCCAAAGGATCTGTCTCTTTTCAGGACAACACACTCAGCATATTATAGAGACATGGATCTGTCCCTACCCGCAGGACTATCAACGGGGGTCGACGACCTGGAGGAGAGAATGAAGGGGCAAGAGACACAAAGAACGGACAGCAAGACAGGATGTCTGATCAAGCTGACCAATTTTATTTTCTCAGGCTCAATTTATATAGGTTGTGACGAAAATATATGTAAAGAGGTGATTGGTCTTCAGTTAGCGCCGGCGGGAAGGTGTAGACAGGTGATTGGGCTTCAGGTGGCACCGGCGGGAACCGAGGACCCAGAAGAGAAGCAGGAAGTTCGCCATCTTGTGGGTGGGGGCCCTTGAGAGGGAGGTTTAAGGATGGGGCTTTCCCCTGGGGCAGCGGGTGTTCTTGAGAAGCAGTAGTTTGGCAGGGTTAGAAGGCCAGTGGAAAGAACAGAGGAGGAAACATTACTTAGTAATCTGACTGCAAGATCTATATTGATTTGGCTAGGAGAGCAACTCTGCCTTACTGCAGAAATGATTGCTGTTGTCTTAAGACTTACATAACTAGTATTGCTTAAAAGTCCATAGGCTCGCTCCCAGCATCTCCCCCTTTCTTTATTAAAAATTAAGACGATTTTGGTTGAGCAGGCTAAGGGGCAGGAACAGGGGCCTGATCCTCAGTGGATATCTGGTGCATGAAGAGGACTCTTAGTCTTACAGGCTCTGCTGAAGAGAAAGAGTTTCTCTATTAAGCACAAGGTGTCTTTTTCCTGAGGAGAGGAGAATGCAGGACACAAACCTCTATGCAATCAGGTATGTCCCTCAAGGAACCCAGGGCAGGCGTTAGCCTTTCCTTTGCAGTGCTTTGCCTCGCATCCACCTTAGTACTCAACCGGCACTCAAAGACTCCTGGGAGGGTTGCGCTGGTGCTTACTTTTGCTGAGAAGAGATAGAGGGGGGTGCTTTGTCGTCGTCATCACTCTCGCGAGCTAGTTTGTGATAGTGGACTTGGATAGGTTTGCTAACAAGGGTATCTATTTGTCTCTTTATAAGGCTCGTCAAATGTTTAAGAGCCCAAGGGCCAAAAGACAAGAGCAATATCAATCCTATGAGGGGGCCTAGGAGAGAGGGCAAGAGAGTAGTAAGCCATGGGGAGGCTGAAAACCAATTTTTATACCAACTTTCATCTTGCTCTCTTTCTTTCTTTCTTTTTTCTAACCCTTCTCTAACTCTTTTCATACTATCTCTAACTACTCCTGTTTTATCAGCATAGAAGCAGCACTCTTCTTTCAGGGCGGCGCAAAGCCCACCTTGCTGCAGAAAGAGTAGGCCTAGCCCTCTGCGGTTTTGGAGAACTACTTCAGCGAGGGATGCGATTGAATCTGTCAGGTCAGAGATTCCTTTCTGCAATTCTTGGATATCTTGATCTATAGTGGCACTGAGCTCGTGATAGCGGGAGTTAGAAAGAAGCAGAGAAAATATGCCTATGCCTGCACCTACAGTCCCTAGGCTGAGCAGAACAGCAATAGTAACAGCAGTAATGGGTTCTCGGTGGGAGTGTTTAGGGAGGGAAGGGTCTGAAGATTGTTCCCAGATATGGAAGAACTCATCAGGCTGGTAGTAAATGAGCCTGGGTATAACTTTTACGAGAACACAAAATCCATGCTCTTGTAAAATGGGATTGTAGGCACAGGGGGTGAGTCCATCTAAGCAGGCCCACCAGGTGTCATTGGGGGGAACTATAAATTGGGGTCCCCATCCAATGGAGAAGATTTCTCAACAGGGGTGGGTGTACTCATGAGGGATCTTTTGAAGAGTGTTAGTTATACAAGTCCTGTTACCGACTACTTGGGTTAAGGTTAGGCCTTCCCAACTAGCGCGTTTCCAACGGCAGTTGTAGGTATCATTGGAGGTGGAGAAGTTGCCAGGGATGGCGGCACCTTCATAAAAAGGGGGGGAAGAGTGGTAACATAACCAACATTCGGCGGTAAGCTCAGGAGTGGTGGAATTAAGACTAAGGAAGGTTTGATTTATAAGGGTGAGGACAAGGTCTTTAGAGCTTGCTAGGGCGGACACTGGTGGTGTAGGGGAGGGTTTAAGACTGCTAGTTGTGAAGCTATGGTTAGGCGAGAGAGCAGAAGGCTTTGGTGGGGGAGGGTGCTTCCCACCTAGGACTGTATTTGGGCCTATAGCAGCAGAAGGGGTGGCAGGGAACTCTTTAAGGAGTTTAATAGTAAAGGTGATGCCTTCATCATAATGTTCTTTATATAAACTAAGACCCCAAGTGTATCCTTGTGCCCAACTTGAGGCTTTTTTCCCTTCCTCAGTGAGTGTGATAGAAAGAGGATTGCACCAACCTTTGGTAATATTTCTAGGGAAGCCCTCGGGGAGTGCTTCAGGGTATTTTTGCCCTTTAAAAGGGTGGTGGGTATAATTGACTTTGGCAGTAATATAATCCCAGGAGGAGGAGGGTCTTCAGTAAGTATCTCCTGTGGTCTCACACCCCCATGACGCACAATAATAGTCTGTCTTGCCTCCGCATTTATGAAGGAGGCTACGGGGCCGGTGCTGCCCTGGGCAAACATAAAAGGAATATGACCTAAGAACTGACCGGCGCCCTGCATCAGAGCAACCAGGGGTGGAGAGACCTGCACGAGAGATAAGAGGTGCTTCACTCTGCTTGAAAAGATGTTCTACTCCCCAAGGGGCTCCCGCACCTAGGGCCAGCTTACAGAGATCAGGTTATAAAATGCTTGGCCACCAGAAGTCTGGCGAGGTTTGAGAGCAGGACCAAACAACATCTCCTCTTTCAGAAAGCACTATCCAGGTGTAGTTCCAGGGAAAGTGTCGGGATCTCGCGGGTTGCGGCGCTGGCAGATGGCTCAGAGCTGTGGTCATAATCAGGAGGATGAGGACTTTTGGCAACTGCATCTGCAATGGAAAAAGAATTTGTCTCAGGCGGAGATGGAGGCTCCAGTCTGGACTGTGGTAAGTTAGCGGTTTTAACTAGCCTTTCAGGGAGCCATCAAGGCTCGGAGTTTTGTTGGTCATAAATGCAGACGGACCCTTGGCCCCAGATAATAATGGGGTTGGGACCTTTCCATGCGAAGGTCAGTGGATCTTTCCATTTTACTAACGCTTGAAGTTCATTGGTTTTAGGGTGCCATAACCGATCAGCAGCTTAGTGTCAGTGGGAGTCGAGCGTCAAGAAGTTAATGACAAACAAGGCATGGCTAAGTTGATTGTGGGGGCTGATGGTTGTATAGAGGAGGGGGTTGTTCTTGAGGTGGGAGAGCGTGTCTTTAAGAGTTTGATGAGCTCACTCTACAATTCCTTGTCCTTGGGGGTTATATGGGATGCCTGTGACATGTTTTATTTGGAAGTCAGAACAGAAGCACTGGAATTTAGCTCCTGTGTAACCTGGCCCATTGTCGGTTTTTATGATCTTTGGCTTGCCTAGCACTGTAAAACAGTGCAAGGTGTGGGTAATGACATCTTTAGAAGCCTCTCCGGTAAGGGGTGACATGAAGATAAAATCACTAAAGGTATCTATAGTAACATGGAGGTACTTCATCTTCCTAAAGGGGGTGAAATGAGTGACATCCACTTGCCAAATTTCATTCGGGATTAGTCCCCGAGGGTTCACTCCTAAATGAGGAACAGGAAGATGTGGAGCAGAGTCATTACATTTTTTGACAATTTCTCGGACTTGCTCTCTGGTAATTTTGAACATGAGTCACAGAGTATTTGCTGAAAGGTGGTGGAGGGAGTGAGCATGCTGAGCTTGACTTAGGGGTGTACTGCTGAAGGCTAGCGCTTTAGGGGAAGGGTATGGGCGGCTTGATCAGCAAGGGCATTGCCTGCCGAAAGAGGGCCGGGGAGTCCTGTGTGAGCTCGCAAGTGGCCAGTGAAAAAGGGGTTGGAGCATCGGATTATGAGATATTGAATTTGTCTGAACAGATCAGCGGTGTTGGAGGAAGGCTTAATAAAGGGAGTGGTTTCTAGGAGAGGTACTGAGTGGGCTATGTAAGAGCTATCTGTATAGAGATTGAAAGGGGTATTACAGAGTGATTGAAACACTTGGAGGACTGTGTAAAGTTCAACAAGTTGGGCGGATGAAAAGGGAGTGGGCAGGGAGACGGGGGTTTTATCTTGAATAACATATGCTGCCCGCCCTGTTGCTGAGCCGTCTGTGAAGATGAGGAGGGCTTCTCGCAAAGGAGAGGGGGAGGTAACTTTGGGAAAAACTAGGGGATGTAGTCTGCTAAATTGAATTAAAGGATCAGTGGGATAATGATTATCTATGGTCCCAGCAAAGGAGGCACAAGCGATACCCCAGTCATCGTTGGTTTGTAGCAACCAATCTATCTGCTCTGTAGTATATGGAACAACAGGATATCAGGATCTTTACCAAAATACTGTCTGCTTAGTTTTCTTCCTTTTATAATAACAGAGGCAGCTAGGGAAAAGTAAGGTGTTAGAACTTTCACAGGTTTGCTGGAGAGGTAGACCCAAAGAAGAGGCTTGCCTCGTTGTTCAAGGGTCTTGGTAGACTGCCAGAAAACTCCTACTGGAGCATGGGTGGTGGCACAAATGATAAGATATAAAGGAGAGGAGTAGTCAATCTGAAAGGAGGTTTGTAGAGAGATAGCTTGATTTATCTGTTCTATAGCAGCAACTGCTAGGGTCGTTAGGGTGCAGGGGGAGAGGGGATGTGTGTCGCCTGCTAGTAAATTGTTTAAGGGAGTTAAGCTTTCAATGGGAAGTTTCAGGTATGGCCTTAAAAACTGTAGGTTACCTAGCAATTTTTGAAAGTCATGCAGCGTTTTAAGGGAAGAAATGTGGAGCTCTATTTTGGGTGTGAAAATTCGGCAAGCTTGGAGGCTGTAGCCCAGGTAAGTGTAGGATTCGGAAAACTGAATTTTATTGGGAGCAATTTTCAAGTGGGAGGCTTCAAGGGTTTCTAGGAGGTGTTGGAAACAGGCAATGGCTTGAGCTTCATCAGGGGAAGCAATAAGTATGTCATCCATGTAATGAAGGAAGTAAATATGAGGCCATTGTCTCTTAACGGGGTCTAGAATTCGGGCTATGAATTTTTGGGCTAAGGTAGGGCTATTCGCCATACCTTGGGGAAGAACATGCCATTGATACCTAGGTGTTGGTTTGTTAAAGTTGATCTGGGGAAGGCTAAAGGCAAAATGGATACAATCATCTGGGTGGAGGGGAATAGTAAAGAAGCAATCTTGCAGGTCTATAACAATCTTATAATAGTTTATGGGTATAGCAGCAGGGGACAGGAGGCCGGGCTGCAAGGCACCCATAGGGACCATAACTTTATTAATGGCTCGAAGGTCTTGTACGAGCCTCCATTTGCCTGATTTTTTTGTGATGACGAAAATGGGGGTATTCCAAGGGGAATTGGAAGGCTCAATATGGCCTGCTGCCAGTTGCTCCTGCACAAGCTGCATGGCGGCATGTAATTTTTCTGCATTTAGGGGCCACTGATCAACCCAGACAGGCTCGGTAGTTTTCCATGTTATTTTATCAGCATGTTGCTGGGGTACAGGCATGATTGTGGCCTCTAGGAGAAAGGGGATCTTAGTCCCTTTCTCTGAGTATTTGATACGATGGTCACAGGAGTTTTAATGCCTTGTGCATTCTTTCCTAACCCTTGGCCAGGCAAGTAGCCTTGTGTCAGCATTTGCTTGGTTACTAACTCGTTTGGGCTACACATAATAATATTCATTTGAGAGAGAATGTTTCATCTCCACAAATTGACTGGAAGCCTAGGAATTACAAAAGGAATAACTGTCCCTGAATTCCCTTCTTGATCTGACCAATGAAGGGACTGGGAACTAACTTGAGGATTTTGTGACTGTCCGATTCCCTGTAGGTGGGTGGTGGAGTTTGTAAGGGGTCAGGAAGGGGGCCACTGCTCTTTGGCAATAACAGTGGCATCTGCTCCTGAGTCTAGGAGGCCTTGAAAGGCTTTCCCATTTAAGGACAGAGTTAGCATGGGGCGGGCACGCATAATTTGTTGAGTCCAATAGACATCTGTGGTGCCTATGTCACTCGTTTCATGCTGCTCTTTAAGGCACTTATTGGAGGAAGGGATAAGTGGCAGGAGAAGAAGTTGGGCAAGGGTATATTCTGCTGGAATATATAGAGGACCCTTAAGAGTGGAGGCTAGGATCTGAATTTCTCCTTTGAAATCTGGATCAATTACTCCAGGGTGTATTTGAAGCCCTTTTAGGGAGGCTGAAGAGCGTCCCAGAATTAAGCCGAAAGTGTTAGGGGGGAGGGGCCCTCAGATGCCCGTCTGTAGAAGCTTTGTCCCTTCTTCTGCAGTCAATATTATACTGGTGGTGGAACAGAGGTCCAATCCTGGGCTATTTTTTGTGGCTCTCCAGAGGTCTGAAATTGATTTTGGGTTACTGTTGAGGGGATGAACCCAATTGCCCCAGGGTTCATCTTCTGCAGGGGGGCCGGCAGCTGCCCCCTGAAGGGGTTTCCCTAGTTCTTAAAAGGGAGGGGCAGACCTTGTATATCAGTTTTTGACCGGCATTCTTTGGCCCAGTGATATCCTTTATGACATCTGGGACAAGGGGTGGAGGGGGGGATGGATTAACTGGTCTGGGGGTATTGCAAGGATTATTAAAAGGGGGTGGATTGGGGTCAGGATTGGGAGGCCGAGGGACTTGGGGCTTTGGGCAGTCTTTGGCAAAATGACCAGGCTGCTTGCAATTAAAGCAAGTTTTTTGTGTTGAGCCAATGCCTGCCCTCTGCAAGGCAACTCCGATAGCCAGTCCAATGGCATGACTAGTTCTGGCGCCTGCGCAGAGGCGCACGAAGTCTGACACTGACCCTTTGCAATGATGCTGAAGCAGGTCTTGACAGACCAGATTAGCATTCTCAAAAGCCAGCTGTTTAATAAAAGGGTTGTCGGGCTCTTGGATGCCGAACATGCACTCAGCCACCTCTGTAAGGCGGCTGACGAAAGAGCTGTAAGGCTCATCTGCTTCCTGCCGTATCTTAGTAAGAGTGGCAGTAGCGGCTCCTTTAGGGGGTAACTTTTTCCAAGCTCCGAGGCCAGCTTGTCTAACTTGAGCCAGGAGGCCTGTGGGAAAGCGTGCTTGGACTGCTAGAGTGTTATAAGGAGCTTCACCTAAAATTATTTTTGCTGTCCAGTCTCGGGAACTGGGTAGGGTAAGATTTTTACTTTCGATTTCTTTAGCGAATTCGACAAGCTCGGCTTTCCGAAGAACAAAGTCTCCCCCGTTTAAGGCTGTGCGAGCAAGCTGATGGAATTCATTTGGGGTAAGCCAATCATTGGTGATAGATTCTAACAGAGCTAGAGTAAATGGGGCGGTGGGCCCATAATTGGAAACAGCTGACTTGAGCTTCTCTAGAGCTCGGATATCTAGGGGTGAAAAGGATGTTCTTTTTATAGGGGCTGGGTCTCTCATCACTGGAGGCCTGTCGCTAGGACACGGGCCTCTTTCGGCTCGGTCTTCAGGGCTATCGTTTAGATGGTCATCTCCATCGTCATGCCATGAATCTCTCTGGGCTCTATCATCAAGAGTAGTACTCACGGGACCTTCTTCTCTCATATCAGGATCAGTGCCCTCTTCTTCAGGGTTATCGGGGTCAAATAACTTAGGGGAAGGGCTCCGGGGAATAGAAACCCCACTCCGTAGGGAGACAGGAAAAGTCAGGACAGGGTTGGGTGATTTTTTTGTTTTGTGAAAAAGTGATTTCGAGGGATGGGGAGTACTTTTAGAGGAAGAATTTGGGGTGTGGGTTAAATGAGTTAGTTTGGAGAGCTCTTGATCTAGGTCGCGAATGGCTTGTAGGAGTTGGATTTGTTCTTTTCTATTTTTGTCCATCTGCTTGAGGACTGAGAGGTCATTTGCAGCATGTCAACGCTCACAGGAGAGAGAGGAGAAGGCGGGAAACATTTGGTCAAGAACAAGGGGGTTATAAGGTGGCAGGGGAATGAAGGGTGGTAAGGTTACTGCTTGTGGGTGAAGTGCAGAGGCAAGGGTGATGGTAGTGGCCTTAGGTGGCCAGTCAGGATTGTTATAATGCGCTGCCTCTTCTTCTAAAGTGGCTTCATCAGTGGGATCAAGGGGCTCAGCAGGACTTAAGTCACTGAGGCTAGGGTAAGTATTTGGGGGAGGGATAGCAGGGAGAGGATGGGAGTCAGCGGAGTTATTAGGGGAGGAAACTTTTTCCATCAGTGACGGGGAAAGAGACTCAATAGTCGGTAAGGGTGGGAGTCTGTCCGATATTTGAGAGGGGTTTGCAGCGGAATCTGAAGGATATTCTTTGAGAGAAGGGGAGGCTGGCCGAGAAGCCTCGGAGTGGGGATGAGAGTGAGATCTCATGGTTTTTCCTCTCTCAATGACAACTTTTTGTAAATCGAGCCACTCGCGATGAACGCGCAAGATATCATTAATAAGGTTCCAATAGCTAAGTGCTGACACAGGTACTTTTTCTGGACCAAAAACTCTATAATAGTCTTGAAGGCAATCGCTTACTCAGTGCCATTTCTTTTCACTAATGGTCCCTTCTTGAGGGAACCAGGGACACACATCTTCAATAAAGACTAAAAAGCGTTTCAAATCTTTTTTCTTAACCCTTGTTCCTCGTGTCCTGAGGGACTCTTTGAGTCTGGCTATAAACAAATCTTCTTGTGAGGATGCTTGCCTCATGACTTACCTTCTCAAATGCGTCGCTGATTGAGTATATACGAGTCTGTCTCACTCTGGGTTCAGAACATGGCGACTCTGGTGAGGGTCTCGTAGCTGCAGACACCTCCTTTCATGGGTGGGCCCATGGGCCCACCCTCCTGGGGGCGACGTTCTCACCTCTCCGGTCTGTCAGGCCCCACATTGGGCACCAATTGTCCTGACCCGCAGGACTATCAACGGGGGTCAACGACCTGGAGGAGAGAAAGAAGGGGCAAGAGATACAAAGAATGGACAGCAAGACAGGATGTCTGATCAAGCTGACCAATTTTATTTTTCTCAGGCTCAATTTATATAGGTTGTGACGAAAATATAGTAAAGAGGTAATTGGTCTTCAGTTGGCACCAGTGGGAACGTGTAGAGAGGTGACTGGGCTTCAGGTGGCGCCGGCGGGAACCGAGGACCCAGAAGAGAAGCAGGAAGTTCGCCATCTTGTGGGTGGGGGCCTTTGGGAGGGAGGTTTAAGGGTGGGGCTTTCCCCTGGGGCAGCGGGTGTTCTTGAGAAGCAGGAGTTTGGCAGGGTTAGAAGGCCAGTGGAAAGAACAGAGGAGGAAACATTGCTTAGTAATCTGACTGCAAGATCTATATTGATTTGGCTAGGAGAGCAACTCTGCCTTACTGCAGAAATGATTGCTGTTGTCTTAAGACTTACATAACTAGTATTGCTTAAAAGTCCATAGGCTCGCTCCCAGCATGGATCAAAGCACGTTTTCCATGAAACACACAGCTATTGGAGGAAGATGGAGAAACTTGCACCTTGTTCTTTTACCACGGATTTCTAAGGATGAGTTTGTGAAATCTTAAGTGTCGTAGGAAAAACATGCATACAAATATGCTGGAATTATATTATTAATTAATAAAGGCTTCTCTAATAGGAGAATCCATTTCATGTCTAACTAATAAAGTGACAAACCATGGGGGTGTCTCTCAAAGTATTTAGAGGGGAGGTAGAACATTTTGTTTCAAACCATCTTATTTGCAAAACGCCTAAAGCACGCAAGGCACGGCCACCAGGGCAAAGGCTTTTCCAGAGTTCAAGGTTTTAAAACAGCTGTTGTTGACGAAGGAAGTCATTAAAATCACCTTGAAAACAAAGACAGTTTTATTTGAGCCAAAATTTGGACCTACACCCAGAAGACGTAACCCCCATGAGTGGAGTAGGAGATTTCTGCCAAAGAGCCCAAGTCATACAAAGCGTTTATGTCCTCCAGGTGACAGGAAGGAGAGACAGACCTCAAAGGGGCACATTTCATTTACATAAGACATGTTATACAAAGAAGAGTTGGGGACAATACACATCCTGGCAGTCACCTTGCTCCGAGGGAAATTAAGAGGAAAGGTAAGCATTTTGTTTATCCTTTACTAGGAATGTGGATGCAATCTGTTTAACCTTCAACTCAACTGATGCTTTTCTTTTCTTTGAGCTTTCCATGAGTGGCTATTTTGAAACTCCCATAGTTACTGAAACCTTCAAAACTTAGACCTTAGACTATTTTTGGTGGTCCCTATTTCTCTCCCTGTTTCACATTGAACAAGTACTGCCGGCACTGGCATATTATGGATAGTCTGCTAATTAAATAGGCAAGTTTCAGGTTAAAATGCAACCACCTAGGGCCCAGTCTCCTGCTCTCTAAAATGTAATGACATACAATTTCACAGGATAAAAAAGATGGTAAATTTAAGCCCAACATGGGAAAATATCTTCTACATTTGTGCATTTTTTACAACAGAATATTTTGAGGAAAAAACATGTATACTGTTCTTAGTTGGTGGATTATGAAACAAACCGAGTTCAATGGGTTATGATGATATTTTAAGAATAGAACAACCCAAGTGAAGGGAGGAACTATTCACAGAACACTTTCTGACTGTGAGACATGCTTAGAAGCCCCTGACCCAATCAAATGCATGTATTTATTTCAAACATCTGCATTTATATTTTACATGTAAAGCCGTAATGCATTTTGAATTGATTTTTGCATAAAAGGTCAGATAGGAAATCTATTTTTTTTTCTAAATAAGTAATTGTTTGGTCCAATATACTGTATCTCTGATAATTGAGATTATAATGTATTAAATTATCACAAACACTTGAATATATTTCTAAAGTCCCTTTCTGTTCTGATTTTTGGTCTGAAAATTGCCAGAAAAATGCCATTTTAATTGTTAGATGGTAAATTGGTATTTTTAATGTCCAGTAAGGTGGAGGGGTGGGGAAGGAAAGGGGGAGAGAAAGGAGGAGAGGGAGGGGGGCGGGTTACGCTTCTTAAAATTTGGATGTTATTTTACAAAACACAAACTATCTTGTTTATTCCAGTAAATGTATTGTTTCAGGTAAAACTTAGAATAATTTTGTCAAGGTCCAAAAAATACCAATAGAATTCTATAAATTTAAATGTATTAAGTTACATTTTTAGATTCAATAAGTTGTATTAAATATATATAAGAATTAAATCCAAGTCTTCTTACCCAGGAAAGTATTGTGTCTCTTCACTTATTTAAGAATTTTATGTTTCAAAGTGCTATTTCTGATTTCACAGTGACTCTGCACATTCATTTTAAGTTTTTGCTAAAATCTGTATTTTTCTATTGAAAATAAGTAGAAGATATTTTTTTTTTACTTTACTGGTTATTGATGCTATGTCAAGAAGATATTGATTTCTGTGTATTGGCTTGCTAACCAACCATTCAATTTGAGCCTGTTATTGATTAAAGTAGTTTTAATAAGTTGATTCCCCTGAGCTTCTCAGGTAGACAATTAAGTTGCCTGTAAAGACAGATAATATTGTCTCTTACCTTGTGGTATGCAGCTCATATTTTTCTAATACTTTTTCATTGTCTAAAATTTTCAAATCAATAATGAAACATACCAGTGATTGTAGGCATTTCTCTTATTCTTGGTTTTGGTGAGAGTGCCCATATATTTTCATTGCTAAATATAATTTAATTACTGGCTTCCAATAGGTTATGAGATTATTAAGGAAATAGTATTCTATTCCTAGTTCTAGAAGAATTTTTTAAAGTTCAAAATGAATATTATCAAACACCCTTTTATGGTTACAAAAAGTCATATAGCTTTTCTCTCTTGACCTATTTATTCATTCAAGAGCTATAGAGCAGCTTCATTTATGTTACCCTTTAACAATAAAATACACATAGACTTGGTAGATTACTGGAATAGATTACTGGACAATACATTAATATTTTATCAAAGTTTTGCATCTAGGAGACTCATGTAGTTTAAACAGTGGCACTTGTTCCTTAAAGATTTCATGATCATGATTTGTAAAATACCTGGCTGTCACAGCACTACTGAAGACAGAGCTTTGATCTTTTAAAATGCCAAGAGCTCCTCCATGGTTTTCTATTTCTTATCAAATCCATTTCAGTGATTTGCACCTTCCTAGCAAAACACCAGTGTTTTCAAGCTCACATAGGATAAAGTTGTGTTTCTATCCATTTCTTTTTTGTCTTTCTAAGTAAATTTTCCTTTTTTTTTTTAAACACTGTTGTTTGGTAACTGAAGATTGATTAAAGTTACATATTGTTAGAAAAAGCATAAAACCTAAATGTGATTTATTCCCACCAGGAGGTTTAAACATTTTAACAGTAAGGTAATAACAAAGGGCCACATGGTAGAAAATATGCCAGGAAGCTGCTGCTCAGGCTAAGAGTGGGGGTTGAGGGAGGTGGGGGGTAGGAATTGGTAAGGGCCTGGCTATACCTGTTTGAGTTTTTTTAAACCTACCAGTGAAATTAAGACAAATGTAAGAGAAGGCCCAATGTGGATATAATTGGCTTAGGCGACATCCGGGAAAGAATGTGAACCCTGTAGTACTCAGCCAATGAAGAACCAGGGGAGGGACTAGTGTGCTAGGGAATAAATTACTTGGGGCCAACGGCCCCAGGTGTGCCTGCTCACCAGACACCCGATCTTGCAAGACCGTCATTAAAGCCTGGCTCGGCTGTTCTCTTTGTCTCCATGTTCACTTACTGAGTTTGGACCAGTGAGTGTGTTTCTCACACATATTCACTCTGAACTGTACATCTAAAAGTATAAAATGACCTGTTCTCATTCAAACCTCTGTCTCGAGTGTGAGTCGGCATTTTACCAGAAAAACAAGGCCACTGTTACTAGTATGACAGTAAGAGAGTTATGCTAGGAATTAGGGCTTCCAGGTGTGGGAGGGCTTAAGGGACTGAAGGTCTAGAAAGGGAAGTGGAGGATCAGAGAAACAGCCACTCACCAGCTCGCCTGAAACACCGAGGCAAATGGACACATGGAGCTCGAAGATCTAGCCTCCAAAGTGGGACCATAAAAGGTGAACCCATGGTAAGGTCTAGGGAAACTTCTGCCTCAGGGGAGATGCTGCCTCTGAGTGACTGCTGCCTGGGCAAGTCTACAACCAAGTGCCTTGTGGCGGCCTGGGGATATGGTTGGTCAGCAGGGCCAGCAGTCAGGAGGCTGAGTTCAACCCTGAGCAGTGGAGAATAAAGACAGCTAGGGTCTAGCAGTTGTCTCTGTTTGTCTATCATTATATCTGACCATGACAACCTTCTAAGATTAGTAACTTCTAATTCTAAGGTAAATGATTTCCACCTTCAAAATTTTGTGCATTTCTCCTTTGGTCAACTGTAAGCAGAACAATACAGAGAATGAAGTTCTGGGAAATGTAGTTCTCCGTCTTCACCAAGTTCGTGTTACACAAACCAACATACATTGAGTTATATTTTGTCTGGTACTAATTTGTAATTGTTATTTGCATCTTGATTTATCTTCCCAATATGGCTTAGAGCATACTTTGATTCTCGTGTAAATAGATTTTTTTCTGATTTTAAAATAGTAAGTTCTCTAGATAACCCTTCTAAGAATAGTAGAAGACTGTGTAACTAATATGTTGATATAGGGAAAGTAAAATGGTGCAAATACTTGATCAACTCATAGGAAGTTATGAAAAGAGGAAAGAGGAACATAAAGCAGGTGGATTGAATAAAAAGCAACTAGTAGTAAGGTGGTAGATATAAACACAACCATCTTAGTAATTACATTAAATACTCCATGGACAAGACGGTCAGTCAGCTTTAAACCCAACTATAAGCTGTTTATAAGAGACAGACTTTAAATATCAAGACATAGAAGACTGAAGGTAAAAGGATGGAAAAACGAATGCCAGGAAAAACAAACCAAAAAAAAGCTGGTGTACCTATACTGACATTAGACAAAGTCAACTGTACAACAAGAAGTGTTACTAGGGATAAACAGCTGAAAAGTATAAAGGGGTCAGTCCACTAAGAAGATACAACGAATCTTAATCTGTATGTATCTAATAACAGGGTTTCAAAACATATGGAATGCAAAATTGATAAGACATAAAAGATAAACAGATGAATTTACAACCATAAGAGGAGATATTAGCATATTTATGTCAAATGTGTTATAAAAATATAACAAAGAAGAGAAATTGAATAACTTGGCCTAAATGACATATAGAATACTGCACTATGAACCCACACATACACATTCTTTTAAATTGCCCATGAAGCATTTACCAAAACTGATCATGGCCAGTCAGTAAAACAAGCTTCTAAAACATGTCAAAAAATTAACATAATAGAATGCTTTCTTATCAAAATGGAAATAAGCTAAGGGGAAAAAACTGGAAAATTCCCAACTGTTTGAAAACTTAGTAGATTGTAGAGTTTTAAATAACCCATGAGTAAAAGAAGAAATCAGAAAGGACATTAGAAAATATTTGAAAATAATTGATTATGAATCCATGACATATCAAAACCTGTGGTATATAGCTAACATTGTGCTTAAAAGAAAAATCCATAGCCTGAAATTCATATATCACAAAAGAAGACAGGCTGAAAGTCAGCCTTCTTCATCTCCAGAAGCTGGAAAAGAATAGAATATTTAAAAAGCAGCAAAAGGAATAAATGAAAGCAGGGTCAGAAGTCAATGAAATAGAAAAGAAATATAAAACAGAGAAAATTAATGAAGCAAAAAGCTCATTCTTTGAAAACATTAATAAGTTGATCAAGAAAAAGGAAAGAAAGACTACATATATAACCAATTTCAGGAAAAGAGAAACCCATCAATTGTACACAAGATTTTCAAAGAATGAAAAAGAAGGAATAACTCCCAACTCACTTTTGAGGACAGCATGAAATTGCTACCAAAATTTGTCAAGGATTTCACAAGAAAGGAAAATTATGGGCCAATCTCTCTTGTGAATGCAGGTGCAAAAAATCCTGCATAAAGGATAAGTGACATTTAGCAGCATATAAAAATGATAGTACACAGGCCAAGTTTAGGTTCATTACAATATAAGATTT